TCATCTGAAAATAGATTTCTCTCTGATAAATCGTACAGATAAATGTTCCCCAGGGAGAGTCTCCCACCCACAGGAATGGAAGTGGAAGATGTGGGATCCATGTGGAAGAGGACTCTAACTCCACCTCCCTAGTTTAAAGGGCTTTGCAAACCCCTGCTTCCATCTGGTCCATGTTCCACACCGCTCTGCCTGGGGACCTGGCTTCTTGGTTCATTCCTCCAGCTGCCCCGGGCGGGACTTCAGGCTTTCACAACAGACAGGCTCAGAGAGGTCGCTACCCTGCCTGAGGCCACACAGCACAGCCCCATCTGACTCCAAGCCCCTGAGTCCCTCTCTCCGAAGCTCCAGCCCCGCGCGGGGTTGCGGTCCCTTGCTGTTCTGAGAGTATATGTGTGCCCTTTGTGCAAAAACGTTCCATCTGCCTTTTCCCACCGCCCGGACCTCCGGGCACACGGGTGCTCGGCTGGGGTGCGCGGGGGCGTGCCGCTAAAGCCCGTGAGAGTCATTTCCGAGGTTGATCACAGTGATAACCGCGCCCCCGGGGGCGCAGGGGAAAGACGGCGGGGCGTGGGGGGCATGGTGTAGCCGGAGAGAGAGGGCAGATAGCATCTCTGACTCACGGCCGTCCTGCACAACAGCCGATATCTCGGGGTGTGTTAGGGGCGTAGCGTCACGGACATCCACCATCTCAAAGAAGCAAAAAACGTGAGGAGAATCGCCCCGGTGCTGGGTCGGAGTGCGGGGGAGTTGGGGGTAGAGTCCCTTGACTCGACTTACCTCTTTGCAATTGATGGTCACGGAGCTCCGACGTGGGGCGCAGCGGAGGTTTAGCAGAGTTGTGTTCTCACGGCGGGCGTGTACACGCTGAATGAGGAAGGGACACCACGCACCCCCCCCCCCCAACCCCGGGAGAGACCAGACTGTTCCAGCAGAACCTTTGGCCTGCAGCTCGGTGACAAACGGGCAGGGCCATCTTCTGGACCCCTTCCTGAGACCCCCAAGCCTCAGAGCTCAAACCCCCCACCCGCCCAGCCAGGGAGCAGGAATTCCCCAACTCCCCACGGCTGACCCTCTGCATGAAGATGGACACTGTAGGTCCCTGGAAAGGGGCCCGGGCCCCCTCACTCCACAGTCCACCAAGGACAGGACCCCTGGTCCCCTCTCCAGGGTTTCAGCCACACGCTTGGCTGCTTGGTCAGATCCGACTCTTTGCGACCCCGTGGACCACAGGAGGCAAGGCTCCTCTGTCCATGGGATGCTCCAGGCAAGAACACTGGAGTGGGTTGCCACGCCCTCCTCCAGAGGCTCTTCCCCACCCAGGGGTGGAACCTGGATCTCCCCCATTGCAGGCGGATTCTTTACCCACTGAGCCATCAGCGCCTAAACCTTAGCCCTGGAACTTAAAGTGCAGCTTTATCTTGTACCTTAAATGTTACGGTTTCTGACACAGCGGACCTCAGCCCTGAGCATAAATCAGGTTTGGTATCACAGGGCCCCTTATGGTTCCCTGGGGGGGAAGGATGGGCGAAGAGATAGTTAGGGAGTCTGGGACGCGAGTTCCGTCCCTGGGTGGGGAAGATCCCCTGCAGGAGGGCATGGCAACCCACTCCAGCATTCTTGTCTGGAGAATCCCATGGACAGAGGAGCCTGGCAGGCTACAGTTCTAAGGGTCGCAAAGTCGGACACGACTGAAGCAATTTAGCACAGTGCAGCTCATGGCTGATCCATGTTGATGTAGGCCAGAGACCAACACGATATTGTCGTTATCCTTCAATGAAACATAAATCAATTAGAAACAAAAAGGTGGTGGAGTGTTGAAAGCCATCACAGAGACGGATGGAGAGTAATGTCCTGCCTCCCTCGTTTCATCGATGCCTGTCTAGAGACCAAGCAGGCAAAACAGGGTCAAACCCAGGGCTCCCGTGAGAGCTCTGAGCAGGACGGCTCAAATGCATCCACATCCTCCTTTCTCTGAACTATTCAGGGGGCCGTGGGATGCAGTGGTTTCAGAACAACGCAGTTTTTCTCAAACAGGATGTTCTAAACTTTCTCTCGGCTCACAAAAGTCCCTGACCCGACGCTACCACCCACCTTGGGATCTGCCTCGCGGAGCGGTGACTTTTGGGGTCCCCGCACCCCGATTGGAGACCCGGCACACCACCTCTGACCCAGGAATGACACTTCCATACCAGGAGCCCCCAGCCTCCGGGGCAGGCGGGGTGGGGGGACTGACTGCAGCTGGAACCCTGGCCCCAAGTTGCAAAACCCCACGTCCCACAGATACAAGACACGTGGTGGTGTTTTCTGGAAAAGGCCCGGGGAATGGGTGGCTGAGCTGAAAAAACAAAAAATGGGGTGAGAGTCTTTCTCCGTTTGCAATACCCTGTCAAGCGGGCTTCCCGCGATGGGTGTTGCATTCTGGTGTCAACTGAAAATCAGTGAGCCCCGGAAGGAAGAGTTATTTTATTGGGTGGGAGTGTGTGTGGGAGTCCTGCGCCCCGGGGGGACAGCATCTCCGGAGCTCTGAGAATACGGCTCCGAGTAGGCGAGAGGGGGAGTCAGGCTGTGTGCAAGTCTGCAACAGAGGGAGCAGGCAGGTCTGAACATCAAAGATCAGGTATCAAGTGAAGGAATTTAGCATTCTGTGTCAGGGAGGATGCAAGCTTCTGGGCTTACTGAATTCTTTCCTTTCAAAAGCCCTTCTGCTGTCTGGAGCCAAGCCTGTTTCCTTGTTCACCTTAAAGAGTGAGAGAGGTCACGGATGGCTGATTGTTGCATTTTCCCCAGCTCCTCAGCCCCTTATCAACCACCGTGGGGTGGGGGGTGGGGGGTGGCATCTTCTGGATCACAGGTTTGGGAGCTCACATTCGTATTTGTCCCTTGGACGGCAAGGAGATCTAACCAGTCCATCCTAAAGGAAATCACTCCTGAATAGTCACTGGAAGGGACTGATGCTGAAGCTGAAACTCCAATCCTTTGGCCACGTGACGGGAAGAGCTGACTCACTGGAAAAGACTCTGATGCTGGGAAAGACTGAAGGTGGGAGGAGAAGGGGACGACAGAGGATGAGACGGTTGGATGGCATCCCCGACTCGATGCACATGGGTTTGGGTGGACTCTGGGAGTTGGTGATGGACAGGGAGGCCTGGCGTGCTGCGGTCTGTGAGGCTGCAGGGTCAGACAGACGCCAGTTGGTGACTGACCAACATTCGCATGCGGAGGGGAGAAATCGCCGATGGCTGTGACACGTCTCGTTTATTTGACACGGCGGGAGGTAGTTACCCTTCACACTGGCTTGCTGTTTGTTCACTGATAAAGGTGACCTCTGTTTTCTAGGGTGGGGAGACATTCTGCTAAATTAGACATCCTCGAGACCACATACACACACACAGACTCCAGGTATATCTGATCAAGCTTGTTTACTGCATCCTGCAGACACAGACAAGATAAAGTCAGTACCAGCCTGAAAAAAAAACAAAAACCGAGAAATCAATACTCTAGACGTCTAGAAAGCTCCTGAACCTGAAGTCTAAGGGGATCAAACTGCTCCTGTCTCCACAAACAGCAGCAACCCGCTTACATTCTACCAGAGTTCTCATGCACACACTTTTAAAAAATTTTCAGTATCAAAAAAGAAACAATAATGTACACTCAACCTGGGACGCTTTGTTCCTCTGGAGCACCTTTACATTCAAGTATCTCTCAGGACCAAGGGCCTGAGTCACTAGTTAAACGGAACCCTGGTTTGTAAAATGCCTCAGCGACTGTAGAATTTTTTTTCTCTCTCTCCAGGGCGGGAGGTGGGTGGCTGTTCGGTGTCAGTAAAGCAGGTGTTCTGCACCTGGCCGGCTGGGTACGTGTGATGAGTGACAAATGATCCAGGACCCACTTGCGAGTGGAAATGTGGAAAGGACAGGAGTGGGCGGGTGGGCGCGTGCAAAGCAGGGTGGCCTTGGTCGTCTTCCCTTATGATTTATGAGAGCCAGGTGACGGCAAGAACCAGCCCGACCAAGCGTCTGCCGCCTACAGGCCGTCCACCTTCAAGCCCTTGGATGTCAGCATGAATGGGATGCATCGGTTGAGGGTGAAGGGGCGCTGGGTGACCTCAGACACGGGTTGGGGCGTTGGGGCACTGGGTGACCTTAGACGTCAGCATCCTTGGTTCCGGGGAGTCCCCTTTATGGTGGTTTTTTTGGGGGCCCCCAAGATGTTCTCCCAGGTCGTCAAGCATCAACGTAGAGTGGGACGTTGGCTTGTGAGTTTGCACCCCCTCATAACATCATGTAAGAGTTGTCACTCATCACAAACGTGAAATCCCCAAGAGAGATCACCCCACGGCCCTGGGGCTGTTGGCGAGGGAGCTGGCCGGAGTCCCCGGCGCCCTCTTCCTCCCCCGTCTGCGGGTACAGCGGGCTCGCCATCACCACGGTCTTGGGCGTCTCGGCCTCGGCCGGCTGGACGACCACGGCATCTTCGGGGGCGCACTCCAGGTCCCCGTCTTCCATTTTGTTCAAGGGGGCCACGTTCTGCGTGTCCTTGATCCACTCCTGCAAGGAGGAAACATTGCGGCTCACTCACGAAGCGTGAAATGATGCCGTTTGCACCAACATGGGTGGACGCAAAGGGCGTCATGCTGAATGCAGTAAGTCAGAGGAGGAGAACTATCACGTGGTCTCCCTTCCCTGTGGGATCTAAAGAGACATGATACACAGAAACTTACTGGCAAAACAGAAAGAGACTCAAAGGCGTGGAAAACGAAGGTACGGTTGCTGGGGGGGAGGGAATTTGGGAAGGTCAGGGACACGCTGCTGTATTTAACATGGAGAACCAGCAAGGACCGGCTGGACAGCTCAGGGAACTCTGCTCAATGTCACGTGGCAGCCTGGATGGAGGGGAGTTTGGGGGAGAATGGATACGTGTACATGTATGGCTGAGTCCAAATGCACACACTTTTAAAAAATTTTCAGTATCAAAAAAGAAACAATAATGTACACTCAACCTGGGACGCTTTGTTCCTCTGGAGCACCTTTACATTCAAGTATCTCTCAGGACCAAGGGCCTGAGTCACTAGTTAAACGGAACCCTGGTTTGTAAAATGCCTCAGCGACTGTAGAATTTTTTTTCTCTCTCTCCAGGGCGGGAGGTGGGTGGCTGTTCGGTGTCAGTAAAGCAGGTGTTCTGCACCTGGCCGGCTGGGTACGTGTGATGAGTGACAAATGATCCAGGACCCACTTGCGAGTGGAAATGTGGAAAGGACAGGAGCGGGCGGGTGGGCGCGTGCAAAGCAGGGTGGCCTTGGTCGTCTTCCCTTATGATTTATGAGAGCCAGGTGACGGCAAGAACCAGCCCGACCAAGCGTCTGCCGCCTACAGGCCGTCCACCTTCAAGCCCTTGGATGTCAGCATGAATGGGATGCATCGGTTGAGGGTGAAGGGGCGCTGGGTGACCTCAGACACGGGTTGGGGCGTTGGGGCACTGGGTGACCTTAGACGTCAGCATCCTTGGTTCCGGGGAGTCCCCTTTATGGTGGTTTTTTTTGGGGCCCCCAAGATGTTCTCCCAGGTCGTCAAGCATCAACGTAGAGTGGGACGTTGGCTTGTGAGTTTGCACCCCCTCATAACATCATGTAAGAGTTGTCACTCATCACAAACGTGAAATCCCCAAGAGAGATCACCCCACGGCCCTGGGGCTGTTGGCGAGGGAGCTGGCCGGAGTCCCCGGCGCCCTCTTCCTCCCCCGTCTGCGGGTACAGCGGGCTCGCCATCACCACGGTCTTGGGCGTCTCGGCCTCGGCCGGCTGGACGACCACGGCATCTTCGGGGGCGCACTCCAGGTCCCCGTCTTCCATTTTGTTCAAGGGGGCCACGTTCTGCGTGTCCTTGATCCACTCCTGCAAGGAGGGAACATTGCGGCTCACTTCACGAAGCGTGAAATGATGCCGTTTGCACCAACATGGGTGGACGTAAAGGGCGTCATACTGAATGCAGTAAGTCAGAGGAGGAGAACTATCACGTGGTCTCCCTTCCCTGTGGGATCTAAAGAGACATGATACACAGAAACTCACTGGCAAAACAGAAAGAGACTCAAAGGCGTGGAAAACGAAGGTACGGTTGCTGGGGGGGAGGGAATTTGGGAAGGTCAGGGACACGCTGCTGTATTTAACATGGAGAACCAGCAAGGACCGGCTGGACAGCTCAGGGAACTCTGCTCAATGTCACGTGGCAGCCTGGATGGAGGGGAGTTTGGGGGAGAATGGATACGTGTACATGTATGGCTGAGTCCACTTGTTGTTCACACTGTTAATCATCTATACCCCAATACAAAACGTTTTTGGTGTTAAAAAAAAAATTAAAATTAAAAAAAGTTACTGCGGGTCAGACTCTGTGTCATAAAGCCCTGCCTTCGGAGCTGGTGCATCTTCACACACGTCCCCTCGCGGGGACACTTGCCCCGGCTGGGCCACAGAAAGCTCTGGTGTCTAGCGCCTCGGTCCGGAATCCTGTGGTTTTCACACCTGCCTTTTGTCACCAGCCTCACAGCACCAGCCTGTGGTCACTCTAGACACACGAGGGCGCCTGAACGTCTTTTCAGAAACCCAGATCCGTTCTCCACCCCCAGGGATGTTGTCTGAGATGGGCGTGACGACGTGTCAGCAGGAGGACCCTCCGCCGGCAGGTCCGAGGGGGCGGACTCTGAATGTCTAACCGGCGACCCAAGATTTCCTGAGGTTGGGAGCTCCCCGGCACTGCCCTCCTCAAGGGGACTCCTCACTCCGATTCTAACATGCCTCCCCGGCTCCTTCTTCTAGCTTCAATTTTGGGGAAAAAAATGAGATTCCCTGTCCTAAATTCTGTTGTACACCCCTTTCCCCTCCCTTGAAGGGGACCGGGACACCAGTCCCAAACACGCCCCTTTGACGTCCAGAGGGTGTTGACCTGAAGGCAGCTAGGTGTGAAGAGTCTCAGTGCGTGCTCTCTGCTCTCCGCTTATCCTCCCTAAAACTGATATTAATTGATGCCGCTTTGGGAAAGTAAATGTACATCTGGAAGTTACCCGGTCCCTTCCAACTCCAGAGACAACGCTTATCATCTGAGAGAGCTTGAGTCTGCATAAAATCTTATGAAACAACCCTCATTTCTGATGCATTTCCTAGTCACCTTCTCATATCTCACATGCCACTCACAGGGCCCCAACCCCCTTTCCTTTAGCTAGTCTCTTCCGAACACTCTACCATCCTTTGTGAAAATGGCAAATCGGCCCCAAGTTCTCACTGCTTCTTGGGGGATGTTCACATCTCTCTCTTTAATCTTTCTGGTCTGTTTAATTTGCAGGACCCCAGGGACAGAACATAAGAGGGTAGAAGAAAAAAAAATATAAGACACAGAAGAGGAGAGACACGTGGAGACGCAGGCAGAGACGGGAGGGAGGCGGCCACCAGCCCAGGGACGGACGCCCGGAGCCCCCAGAAGCTGGAAGAAGCAGGAAGGACCCTCCCTTGGAGCCTCTGCAGGGAGCCCAGCCCTGGGGCACCCTGACCTCAGGCGTGTGGCCCCCGGGACCCGGGCAAGGATGCCCGTGTGATGGTTTGCACCCCAGGTTTGTGGCAGCCCCAGGGAACGCACGGCTCTCCGATCCCGGCGTCCTATAAAATCCACGCCTGGTGATGCGGGGAGCCGGACCCCACCTCTCTCCATCCTCCCCAGGCCCCCTTTGCCGCCCCCCCCCCACCCAGTAAGCGTTTATCACAGGAACAAAGTTAACGACCACAAACGTTGAAAAGCGGAAATGCAGGTTTCGCTGTCGGCCCCCTGCAGTGGGAACAGACTAAGAACGGGACCTCCTGATAAGATCGGAAGGCCAGGAGGCTGGAAAATCCCATGGTCCTGGGGCAGAGGGGACACCCATCTGAGACTAATTTCAAGAGAAGCCGCCCTCGGAGACTCTGGGATCCACTTTCTCTTACCGAGAAAGAGAAAAACAGTAAAACCGCTGCTTTCAGATTTGAGGAGGCTTGCAGGCGTATAAAGAGGAATAAAAGCCATTTGTTGGTTTTTTTTTTTTTTTTCAAGAATAGTGAATCAGCCCCAATGTTTATTGCAATCCTGTTTACAATGCCCCAGACAAAGATGCGAGCTAAGTGTCCGACACAGTAAAGAGCACACATTTCCTCCTCCAGGGGGATCTTCTCGATCCAGGCATCCAACCCAGGCCTCCTGCTTTGCAGGCGAATTCTTTACCTTCTGCGCCACCGGGAAAGCCCCCGATAAAGGACATGTGGTGTATACATACACACCCTGGACTGTTGCTTGCTCATAGAAAGGATGAAATGCCCTGTGTCGCAACAGACACGGACCTAGAGATTCTCATACTCAGTGAAGTCAGCCACACAGAGAAGGAGAACTGTCATATGACATCCCTTACATGCAGAGTCTAAAGAGAAATGATACAAGTGGGCTTACGGACAAAACAGAAACAGGCTCACAGGCTCAGAGAATGAACTTATGGTTCCTAGAAAGGAAGGGGGTGGGGAAGGGGTAGTCAGGGAGTCTGGGATGGACATGGACACCCTGCTGTGTTTACCACAGAGAACCAGCAAGGACCTGCTGTCCAGCACAGGGAACTCTGCTCAATACTCTGTGATAACCTGATGGTCACCAGGGGGAAGGATGGGGGAAGGGATAGTCAGGGAGTCTGGGATGGACATGGACACACTGCTGTGTTTAACATGGAGAACCAGCAAGGACCTGCTGGACAGCACAGGGAACTCTGCTCAATACTCTGTGATAACCTGATGGTCACCAAGGGGAAGGATGGGGGAAGGGATGGTCAGGGAGTCTGGGATGGACATGGACACACGGCTGTGTTTAGCATGGAGAACCAGCAAGGACCTGCTGGACAGCCCAGGGAACTCTGCTCAATACTCTGTGATAACCTGATGGTCACCAGGGGGAAGGATGGGGGAAGGGATAGTCGGGGAGTCTGGGATGGACATGGACACACTGCTGTATTTAACATGGAGAACCAGCAAGGACCTGCTGGACAGCCCAGGGAACTCTGCTCAATGTCACGTGGCAGCCGGGATGGGAGGGGAGTTTGGGGGAGAATGGGTACATGTGTGTGTATGGCTGAGTCTCCTTGCTGTCCAGCTGAAACTGTTATTAGTAGGCTATACCCCAATGCAAACTAAAAAGTCAATTAAAAAAACACCTCTAAGCAGAAAAAATGAAATATTGCAGAGGGGTGATATTAGGGCCGCCCAGAGCGAGCTTGCAAAGGAGATGCTGCTTACCTGGAAGTTACCTTGGTGGGATTCAAAGAGCCCCAAGAAAGAGAACTTGGGATCAGGAACGCTGGGCATGAGAACCTTCTTAATCCTGAAACGGACATGGACAGTCTGGTCAGATGGGCTGGCACCCCCCGAGCAGGGCATCCACGTGGAAAGACCCCCATCAGGGGACAAGGGCAGCTGCGCATGGGTTTCGGAGACTCAGAACCTTGGCGGAATTGCGTCCGCTTGAGAAAAAGCAGACCCAGGAGACTCTCTCTGCTCTCTCTCATCTGCCTGAAAGCAGAACATCAATTTCCCTCCTGATTAAAAAACAGGAAAAAGCAATAATTCCATTAATAAAAGTGCACCCTCTCCTGTAGCAGGAAATGGAGAATGAGTCATATCACCAAGATGGTGTCAGAATGATTCCATTCAGACAAGTTTCATCTGCCTGCAGTTTGTCTCACACATCTCTTAATCAGTTCCCCACAATTTATGCCCATCCAGACTCCCCTTCCCCTTGTCTAGCGACTTCTCCACAGATTATTGCCCTTCGTTAAAATGCTATAAAAATCCCCAGATGAACCGCCTGGTTAGGCGTTCACTTGCTTCCTGTGAACGACTTACGCACTTAAAAATATTACATCAAAAAACAATATATAGACATATTCTTCTGTTACTGCCTTTGGTTGGTCAGTTTAATCTGCAGGCCCCTAGGAACAGAAGCTAAGCGAGGTTCTCATCTGGTAGGATGCTAATCCGACGGGAGTGGGGTCCTTCTAATAAGAGGAGGTCAGGACACAGACACACACACACAGAGGGAGGAGCATGTAAGGACTCGGAGGAGACGGCCGTCTACACGCCCAGGAGAGAGGCCTCAGGATCAACCAGCCCTGCCCACACCAGGACCTCAGGCTCCAGCCTCCAGGACTGGGAGAAATAAATGTCTGTTGTTTGAGCCCCCAGATTTTGGTCCTTTGTTATGGCAGCTCCAAGAAAATAATACAGTTGTTTAGACCACTCATTGTAACAGGAGCTTTCTTAAAGACAGGAGGAGTGGTTTTCTTCCCCCCAAGAAGTGTATTCCTCAGATTCCCTTTGGGGTGATTTTGAATTAAAAACACCAGACCAAAACAAAACAAGAACAAAGGCAAAAAAAACAGCAGACCTGTCACTTGTCAACACCCCTATCTGATGGCTTCATCTCCTCCCGACTTCCTCTGTTCCCAAACAGAGAATGATAAAGGTGGCATCTGTCTGAGCTGGTGAAAGCGGGAAATCTAGACTGAAGAATTAATGGGCAATTTGCAAGAATTAAGAGAATTATCCCCATGCCGTGTCCAACCGTGATGGAATGTCCTGAAACTGTCTAACTCAGCCTGGCTCAGACCCAGCGTGAGTGGTCCAGAATGGCACTCCATCTTTCTCTACGCATCACTCCTGTTGTTGCTAGGGAAACGTCGACCTAAGAAATAAAGATGGCGCCCACAGTCCTGAGCATCAGCCCCTTCAAACATCATCAACAATCAAATGCCTGGGCACAGCTACGCTTGAGGAAAGCTGGAAATGGCAGCAGTTAAGTTAATGCCTGGAAGGATAACAGAGTGAACTATTTAATATCATATTTTTGAAAGGCTTTCTATGGTTTCAAAGAATCATGTTTTTCTGTATCTGTAACTGGATTTACAAACCACACAGGCTTTGCTTGGCCAGTTCTCCTCACATCACTCACCAAGTTGCCCAGTTTAAAAAATATCCATAAAAATTAAAAGATGTTCTACATGCTTGTCATTCTAACATGATAGGAGGACAGAGCCTCAGTGGGTGTACATTTGAAGCAAGGTAACGACAATAAACTTGGACCAACTACTAAAAAGCAGAGACATCGCTTTGCTGGCAAAGGTCTGTATAGTCAGAGCTATGTTTTTTCCCAGTAAGTCATGTATAGATGTGAGAACTGGACAGTAAAGAAGGCTGAGTGCTGAAGAACAGATGCTTTCAAACTGTGGTGCTGGAGAAGACTCTTGAGAATCCTTGGACAGAAAGGAGATCAAGTCCATCCTAAAGGATATCAGTCCTGAATATTCATTGGAAGGACTGACGCTGAAGCTGAAACTCCAATACTTTGGTCACCTGATGTGAAGAGCTGACTCATTGGAAAAGACCCTGATGCTGGGAGGGATTGAAAGTGGGAGAAGGGGATGACAGAGGATGAGATGGCTGGATGGCATCACCAGCTGGCTGGACATGAGTTTGGGGAAACTCCAGGAGTTGGTGATGGACAGGGAGGCCTGGCGTGCTGCGGTCCATGGGGTCAGACAGAACTTAGTGATTGAACAGCAATAACACTCATAGGAATGAACATTCCTGCATCTTATGGTCTTCATGAGAATATTTCTGAACAAGTTCTGCAGGTATCTCCGCACCTTTGACACTATTCACCTGTTTTCTTGTCATATACCATATGCATCAGAGAGAAAGTGATATCCAGCTAAATAACCACACCACACAATTATTTTTTTCTCCAACTCTCTACATATGGGAACCAAAGCCCATGTGTCTGAGGATTCCGGTGGGGACATCCTTACCTGTGTAGTTTCCATAGAGACAGAAGCAGAAGGAAGACTGTCAGGAAGGAGACCATGCCAGCAATTAAAATAAATTTGGGGAAAAAGCTGTTTTCCCAGCATGAATCTAAAGGGAAACAGGATGAGGGCTGTTAGGCTTTCAACATGATACCAGATTGCGCGCTAATCCCCCTCCACTGCTGTTTTTCTTTCCCTTGAGAATTGTCAAGGTCGGCAGATCTTGATTTTGGTGTGAAACATCCTGGGAGGACAGGTGGGTATGCTGGAGAGGCAAATGTCGGGCAGAAGGGAGCACAGACTCACCTTACTGCCAGCGGTGTCTGAGGGTATCAGGGCTTGATTTGGTCTATCTGCCCATCTGTCTATCTGTCCAGCTGTCTATCTATCTCTGTCTCTATCCATCTGTCTGTCTGTTCATCTGTCTATCCATCTGTCTGTCTGTCTGTCTACCTATCATCTACCTGTCTATCTATCCATCCATCTATCATCTATCTATCTGTCTACCTTGGACTTCTCCACGGGCCCAGTGGTAAAAAATCCATCTGCCAATGCAGGAGACACAAGAGACCTGAGTTTGATCCCTTGGTCAGAAAGATCCCCCTGGAAGAGGACGTGGAAACCCTCTCCAGCCAGCATTCTTGCCTGGAAAATCCTGTAAATGCAGGAGACTGGCGGGCTACAGTCTGTGGGGTCACAGAGTCGGACACCACTGAAATGAATAAGCAGACATCCACCCATCCATCATCTCTTTGTCTATTACCTATCTATTATCCATCTACTTGTCTATCACCTGTCATGCATCTTTGTCGATCTATATACCTCATCCATCTGTCTCTGCCACCTATCTAGCATCAACTTATCTACACCTGCTTCCTAAGTCACTTCAGTCGTGCCTGATTCTCTGTGACCCCGTGGGCTGCAGCCTGCCAGGCTCCTCTGTCCATGGGATTCTCCAGGCAAGAATAGTGGAGTGGGTTGCCATGCCCTCCTCCAGGGGATCTTCCCGACCCTGGGATCGAACCCAGGTCTCCTGTTATACTGCCTGCAGATTCTTTACCACTAAGCCATGGAGGACGCCCCGAATTATCTATGTCTGTAATCTATCATCATTTATCATCTATCCATTAAGCATCTATCATCTAGTAGCCATTTATCATCTGTTTATCTATATATCTATCTACATCTCTATACCCATATCCACAGAACAACATTCAGTCATGTCCGACTCTTTGCAACCCCAGGGACTATACAGTCCATGGAATTCTGTGAGCCAGAACACTGGAGTGGGTAGCCTTTTCCTTCTCCAGGGGAATCTTCCCAACCCAGGGATCTAACCCAGATCTCCCACATTGCAGGTGGATCCTTTACCAGCTGAGCTTCCAGGGAAGCCCGACAACATTCATAAATAACACTTATCATTCTTGCTGGGTCCATAGAAATAAAAGTGAAGCTGAGTCCGATGACAAGGGCCACAGGAGGAGGCATTGCTTCCACAGTGACCTCCACAGAAGGCCTGGGGGCCATCCGCATTTTCAGGCACCCTGCTCCGCCCTCCCCACACGTAGCCCGCTGGCCTGTATCGGGCAGCGACGCTGCGTGGCAAGCATTACCTCGCAGCACACCCCTCTGTTGGTGCGTCACCTCTGACCAGTCACTGGGGTACGTTTCTGAGCCGTAGGCAAACTCCAGAGCTTTCACCCTGGCCCGGAAGGAGTAACACTTCTCAGCATCCAAACCGTTGATGGTGATGTTGCAGGTTTCTGCCTCTGCAGACTGGAGCGGACAAAATGCACGTGGTGACCCCTGGCTGACGCTTTACCCTGACGCGTTCATCTTGTGCCAGAGATTTGGCACCAGATTCCTGCTTCCAGGGCTTCCTTCTCCTCTTTCACTTCTCTCTGGGCAGGTGTTTATCCTCAAAACAACAGCAAAAAAAAAAAAAAAAGAAGCAGAGACAGTTCTGCCCTTCCCTCCACAAAGGAAATAAATCCACCATAACAAATATGACGAAAGAGGCTTTTGAAGACTTTCTAAGCTCTTCCTTTTTACAAATGTAATTTTTAAAAAAAAAACAATGTATTTATTTGGCTGCATCAGATTTCAGTTGCAACAGGTGGGATCTTTTTTACAGAACAAGGGCTCAGTCATTGCCTCCCAGGCTGAGTTTCCCTGAAGCACATGGAATCCTGGGTTCCTGGATCAGGGATGGAACGCACCCACATGGCCTGCTTTGCAAGGTGGATTCCTAACCACGGGACCGCCAGGGAAAGCGAAAAAGAAAGTGTTAGCCGCTCAGTCGTGCCCGACTCTCTGCGACCCCGTGGACTGCAGCCCACCAGGCTCCTCTGTTTACGGGATTCTCCCGGCAAGAAAACTGGAGTGGGTTTGCCATGCCCTCCTCCAGGGGATCTTCCCGACCCAGGGATCGAACCCGGGTGTCCTGCATTGCAGGTGGATCGTGTAGCATCTGATCCAGCGGGGAAGCCCACAGTCACGTGAGCAAGTGCGTAAAACAAGTCTGGATATCTGTGTCTCTCGGTCTCTCCATCCCGGGGGATGCCTACTCACCCCCGACCCGAGACGATGTCCCCTCACCTGCCACTCGGAGTCAAAGATGGTCTTGTGCTGGATTTCATACTGGAGATCGTTGTATCCCAGGTTGGAGCAGGTCACCGTCACGGCTTCCTCCCGCCACTGGAAGCTCAGGTCGTCGGGGGATCTGGGTTTCACTTAGAACAAGAAAGAGCACAGTGACTAACGCCTCTGCGAAGACAAACATGGCCCATCTCTGAACCCGCAGCGGTCCCTGGGCTTCGATTCACTTTCCTCTCCGCCTGCTCCCCATCCTTTCCCAAATACTTCATGAGACGTGAGGTTTCCTTGTCTTTAGCGCATGGACAGTCAGAAGGGTTAGCCAGCTCTCTAAGGACCCGTGGGGGTGGGGGGGTCTCGTGGAAAGGAGCTCCCCCTGAAATGGGTCGAGAAAGTTTTCGGGATGTGTCATGAAACGAACTGTGTTCCCACCAGAAAAAGACCGCCTTGAACTCCCGGCGCCTAGCCCTTCACGATCTTTGGAAAGAGGATCATTTCAGAGGTAACTGTTTAACATCAGATGAGGTTGTAGAGACTGTGAAATTGAACAACGTCAGTTCGACAGAGAGGCAAAAACATCCTATGACATCCGTTATGTGCAGAATCTAAAAAGACATGATACAAATGAATTATGACATCCTTTGTGTTGGAATCTAAAAGGAAATAATACAAATGAGCTTATTTACAAAACAGAAGGAGACTCAAAGAAAATGAACTTATGGTTCCCAGGGGGAAGGATGGGGGAAGGGATAGTCAGGGAGTCTGGGATGGACATGGACACGCTGCCTTGTTTCACATGGAGAACCAGCAAGGACCTGCTGGACAGCCCAGGGAACTCTGCTCAATGTCACGTGGCAGCCGGGATGGGAGGGGAGTTTCGGGGAGGATGGATACATGTGTATGTGTGCCTGAGTCCCTTCACTGTGCTCCTGAAACCATCACAACACTGTTAGTCGGCTATGTTGTTGTTGTTTAGTCGGAAAGTCACGTGTGACTCTTTGCGACCCTATGGACCGCAGCCTCCTCTGTGCAGGGGATTCTCCAGGCAAGAATACTGGAGTGGGCTGCCATTTCCTCCTCCAGGGGAATCTTCCCGACCCAAGGGCCGAACCTCTCATTGGATTCGAACACGGACCTCTGACATTCCAACCACCAGCCAAAGAGAAAGGAAGAAAGGATCATTATGTCACAGAAATGCAGATCAAGAGAGGAATCTTTGGAGAGGCTGGTTCACTCCATTTGTACGATGGCTCCTAACCCAAGACGCACAGTCAGCCTCCAAGGTCCTGAATACGTACAGTAAGCGCTAATCTCTAGGCCCTTGGTGAGCAGGGGCTCTGTTCCATTCCGGATGGAAAAATACAGAGGTCCATCTCCTTGCACATCCAGCAGGCAGCCGGCCCTGTAACCTTGCTGAAGCACGTAGCTGGAGCAGGGTCTGTATTCCTCCTTTGTCTTGAATCTGTAATTTTAAAAAGAGAATCCCTCAGTCACGTAGCGCCCTTGGGAATACCGTCCCAGGCCTTTCCTGGTGGCTTACTGGTAAAGAATCTGCCTGCCGATGCAGGAGGCTCGGGGTCGACCCCTCGGCCAGGAGGACCCCACGAGTCGCGGGGTAGCTGAGCCCGTGAACCTCGACGACGGACCGCACGCTCTAGAGCCTGCAAGCTGCGACTGGTGAGGCCCGTGCAGCCTAGAGTGTGTGCTCCATGACAGGAGACGGTCGCCCACAACAGCCAGAGACAAGACCGCACAGCCCCAAAGGCCCAGCACAGCCAAAGTTCATACACGTCAATAAAGTGAAAACTACGCAGCATCGCGAGGGCCGTTCCTCGGTCCCGCGGCTCCACCACGGACTCAGATCGGGTGCCGGGCCGTCTGCCCGGATGCCCTCCCTCCCCTTACGACTACAGCAGGACCTGTCCAAACAGAAAAGGGCCCCCCTCTCTCTCAAGTGCTGACACCCCTTCGAGAGATCCCGTAGGGGCTGAACGGTGGCTCTGTAAATGGCATGCCTACCCGCGAACCCAGAACCTGTGAACAAGACCTTATTAAGAAGCGGGGTCTCTGTGGCTGTGATGGAGTGAAGGGTCTGAGATGAGGGTCCTTCTGGGTGGGGGTGGCCCTCAACCCAGGGACAGGGTCCTTATAAGACACAGACGGGGAAAGACAGGGACACAGAGGAGAAGCCACGTGGAGATGCAGGCGGAGATGGGAGGGAGGCGGCCAGCAGCCTTGGGGAGGGAAGCGGCCAGCAGCCCAGGGACGGACGCCTGGAGCCCCCAGAAGCTGGAAGAGGCAGGGAAGGACCCTCCCCTGGAGCCTCTGCAGGGAGTCCATCCCTGGGACCCCTTGGCCTCAGACGTCTGGTTCTCAGGAGTGGGGGAAGATACATTTTGTTTTTTCTGTTGTTCCAAGTTACCCAGCTTGTTGTAGTTTGTTGAGACCATCTAGGATACTATTAACAGTATCAGTAATAATCATTGTGGTCACATATCAGTATCATGAGCAACCAATAAGTAGGTATCAATAAATAATTGACCTCCAGAGCAACCGAGCCCTTGATTCAAGGATGCACTTTTAATACGGATGTGCCGAAATGGGATTAACCTTTGAGAGTCTCCTGGAGTGTTAACGGGAAGCCTAAAGATGGGTCTACACTCCATCCTTAAGCCCTCAACCCCAATCTGTGATGAGATCAAGAATTATCTCCTGTATGACAGAACAAACAGCTGCTCAGGAAGAAAAAAAAAAATGAGATAAAATGAAGCTATCTGGGAGACCACTTATCCCATCCAGCACTTTTTTCTTTGCCCCATGAGTCATTTTCCTAACAAATTCATCTTAAACGTTTCCCTCTTCTGTTCGCCTTCCCGCCTATCTCGTGTTTTATCAGGTGGCCACGACTCAAGCCCTCTCAGAACAGCCCACTCTTTACAGAACTGAGACCAAATTCGTTGGAGGAAAACACCCTGCCCCCCACGTGGCCGCTCAGGTCGTCGAGTCAGGCAAGGCACAGCACCCTGTGAAAGGGGGAGATGGGTTTTATTTGGAAGGCGGCCCCTGGCAAGCAGGGAATGTAGCTGCAGGTGACAGAGACGCAGGCAGAGGCAGCTGCTGGGACATTGCAGGGGACGCCGCGGGGTCAGATCGCTCTGCGTCTCCTGCGAGGATGCAGGTGGATTCGAGCGAGACTCAGTCATCCCTCGGTTACGAGGTCTGGGCGCTGTGGTTGTCCTTGTGCTGATACCGGGGGTCCAGAGGGCAGTCTCACTCGCTCTTACGGTTCTTCACACCTTCACTTCCTGGCCGCCCCCCCATCGGTGATGTGTTCCGAGGGGCGATGTTTTAGCCAGAGGCGTGGTTTTCCAGGGAGGGGCCCTTACTTGCAGACGGACCTGACATTAATCCCAGTGCCGGCACTTACTTGTAAATGAACGTGAAGTTGATCCCGGCGTATGCATTTGTGTTCCACGTAACCTGCACGGTTTCGAAATTAAAGTTGATCACCTGAAGATCCAATGCGCTTCCTGTGCAGAAAAAAAAAAAAAAAAAAAGATAAGCAGAGAGGACTGTGAGGCGATGCTGGAAAGACTTTGAGATTTGTAAAACGATGTCAGCGCTCATAAGAATGATATGGTGCTTTTAAAAAAAAAAAAATTGATGATGCATTTTATTTAGCCTGGTATACCCAGAATATTGGCCTTCCCCGATGGTTCGGTGGGTTAAGAATCCACCCGCAATGCAGAAGTCACAGGAAATGTGTGTTCGATTCCTGAGCTGGGAAGATTCCCTGGAAGAGGAAGTGGCAACTGACTCCAGTGCTCTTGCCTGGAGAATCCCACGGACAGAGGAGCCTGGTGGGTTATGGTCCATGGGGTTGCAGAGAGTCGGGCACAGCTAAGTCACTGAGCACGCGTGCAACCAGAATATTATCATTTCAACATGTTACCGATCATCATCATCATTATATCATCAAGTTATTATCTGTCTACTCTCTGTGTTGATGTATCTATCAGTCAACTATCAGCTGTGTCATCTATCTAGGTTACTTATCTATGTAACTATGTACAGCTATCTATCTAGCTATCTATAATTATCAAGACACGTTATGTTTTTACTATGTGCCCGGAGTCTGTGTGTGTTTCGCAATTATAACACAAGAATGATACAGTTCTTCAAAGGGAGTAAGGAAAACATTTTATAATAACTGTGAAGGGGGCATCGCTTTTCAAACATGAGAATTGCTACACTGTACACCTGTAACTTATATGAAAATACGACGCATCGGCTGTGCCTGCGGGCCCGAGTGCTCAGCCGTGGCCGACTCTTTGCGATGCTACGGAGTGCAGCCCGCCGGGCTCCTCTGAGCGGGGGGATTCTCCAGGTGAGAATCCTGGAGTCGGTCACCGTGCCCTCCTCCAGGGGATCTTCCCCACCCAGAAACCGAACCCGAATTTTCAGTGGCTACCGCTTTGCAGGCGGCGTCTTGACCACTCAGCCACCGGGAGAGCTCGTGCATCAGCTTTATGTCAACTAAAAATTCTGTAAAGCAATTATCCTTCTATTAAAAAAAGAAATAATCTTGTTAAAAAAAAGAGAAAGGATTGAGTTGTGTGCTTGAAAGAGGTGAATCATCTGGCGTGTGAATTAACATCCCAACCAAGCTGTTAACCAGAACATCACCATCTGCCCCCCCCCCCCCCCCCCCGCCCCCCGGCCTGTGGTGTTTGTTACACAGCCTGAGCTGATTGAGACAGAGCTTTCCCTGTTGGCCTGAATCTGTTGCCACAGGTCAGCCCACCCTGACTGCACCTGAGCCNCTGTGCGACCCCACGGACGGCAGCCCACCAGGCTCCGCCGTCCCTGGGATTCTCCAGGCAAGAACACTGGAGTGGGTTGCCATGACCTTCTCCATATCTATACATACATACATACATATATATATATAAAATCTCATCTCACTAGCTTCCCAGGTGGCGCTAGTGGTAAAGAATCCACCAGCCAATGCAGGAGGCGTAAGAGATGTAGGTTTGATCTCTGGGTTGAGAACAAGATCCCCTGGAGGAAGGCATGGCACCCCATCCCAGTATTTTTGCCCGGAGAATCCCGTGGACAGAGGAACCTGGCGGGCTACAGTCCACGCGGTCGCAAAGACTCAGACACGACCAAACGACTGAGTTCACACACACACGTGCCTGCTCACACACACTCCGGCTCCTGCCCACACCGCCTTCTTATTTCTAGAGCAGCTCATGAGCTCAAGGCCACAGCAGCAAACACCCAGCAACGGCCCAGAGTAAACGTAGAGATAAAATAAAAAATGGCATGCTGAGGGTCGTTCCTGTGTCCCACGTCTCTGCCACGGGCTCAGACTGGGTGCCAGGTCATCTGCCTCGATGGCCTCCCTCCCCTTACGACTACAGCAAGGCCTGTCAAAACAGAAAAGGACCCTCCCAAATGTTAGCACCCCCCGCAAATGTCAGCACCCCTTGAATAGATCCTGTAGCGCTTGAACGGTGGATCTCCATATGGCATGCCTGCCCGCTAACCTGGAATCTGGGAACAGGACTTTATTAAGAAATGGGGTCTCTGCAGACGTGATGGAGTGAAGCAGCTGAGATGAAGGGTCCTTCCTGGATGGGGGTGGCCCTAAACCCAGTGACAGGGTCCTTATAAGACACAGAAGAGGAGAGACACGGACACAGAGGAGAAGCCACATGGAGACGGAGGCGGAGACGGGAGGGAGGCAGCCACCAGCCCAGGGACGGATGCCTGGAGCCCCCAGAAGCTGGAAGAGGCGGGGAGGACCCTCCCCTGGAAACTCTGCAGGGAGCTCGGCCCTGGGACACCCTGATCTCAGACGTCTGGCCTCCAGGGCTGGAGATGCATATGTTTTCCTTGCAAATTCAAGGGCATTTTTGGGAGGCAAAGGTGCCTCATCAGGAGCCCAGTATCTCTGCCATCAACACATGATGGCCTCGGATGGAAATACTGACAGTCCACTGCAGCCGTTAAGTCTGACTCTTGTTTAAAAATGGATCGATTAAGTGGAAATGGCCCCTGAGGCGTCTCTTGACACAACTCTGGGGCCTTGGGTGGGAAGGGGGGTTGCTTTATTAAGACCACGCTCGGGGAGTTCTTAGAGTCTCACATCTGTAATGACCTCAGGCAAACAAAGGCCATTCATAAAGTGAGTCTACATTTCCCAGGAAGTTCTTACCAAGGTTCTGAGTGAGCCCAGCTTCACAGGGGGATGAGCCCTCCACCCTTCCAAGGTCTCTCCACATCCCCGTGTCCTCGAGAGGCAAACCTAGACAGCGTATTAAAAAGCAGAGACATCACTTTGCCGGCAAAGGTGAAACTACTCAAAGCTAAGGTTTTTCCAGTAGTCATGTATGGATGTGAGAGTTGGACCGTAAATAAGGTTCAGCCCCGAAGAACCGATGCTTTTGAACTGTGGTGTTGGAGAAGACTCTTGAGAGTCCCTTGGACTGCAAGGAGATCCAACCAGTCCATCCTAAAGGAGATCAGTCCTGGGTGTTCATTGGAAGGACTGATGTTGAAGCTGAAACTCC